GCTGGTGGACGTTGGAGAGGAGTGTGACTGCGGCTCTCAGAAGGTAGCTGCTCCTGTTAGCTGCTCCTGTTAGCTGCTCCTGCTAGCTGCTCCTGCTAGCTGCTCCTGCTAACTGTCTCCAGATTCCTCTGATATTGAATAAAAGTTAGAAGAAGCGTCTTTGTTCTGATTTCTACGTTGATTTAGGCTCGTTCATTAAATAGATAAAGACATAACCTCTGAGTGTGTGTGTGTGTGTGTGTTACTGTGTGTGTGTGTGTGTGTGTGTGTGTGTGTTACTGTGTGTGTGTTACTGTGTGTGTGTGTGTGTGTGTGTGTGTGTGTGTTATTGTGTGTGTGTGTGTGTGTGTGTGTGTGTGTGTGTGTGTGTGTGTGTGTGTGTTACAGGAGTGTGAGGAGGACCCCTGCTGTGAGTATCAGACCTGTAAACTGAAGTCTGGAGCTCAGTGTGCCTACGGAGAGTGCTGCTTCAAATGTCAGGTGAGCGCGACCTTTGACCTCCAGCACATAAAGGTCTGACAGCAGAATACGTCTGTGTGAAATAATAAGCTAATACGCTACGATAGCATTTTTAAGATGGTTAAAAGATAAAAGAGATAAATATATAATAACTAGTGTCTGTGTGTGTCCGTGTGTGCTGTTGTTTGTGTGTCCTGTGCGGGTGTGTGTGTCTGTGTGTATAGACCTTCTCTTGTTCATGAATTATTACTCATACTGTGTGTGTGTGTGTGTGTGTGTGTGTGTGTGTGTGTGTGTGTGTGTGTGTGTGTGTGTGTGTGTGTGTGTGTGTGTGTGTGTGTGTGTGTGTGTGTGTGTGTGTGTGTGTGTGTGTGTGTGTGTGTGTGTGTGTGTGTGTGTGTGTGTAGTACCTACCAGGTGGAACGGTGTGTCGGTCCAGTACAGATGAGTGTGATCTACCTGAGTACTGTAACGGCTCCTCGTCCCTCTGTCAGAGCGACGTCTTTGTCCAGGTGAGACCGACTCCGCCTGCAGGTGCCCTGATCTGCCTCAGGGCGGCGACCTTTGAACTGTGTCTTGTTCTTTGTGTGTTTTCAGAACGGGCAGCCGTGCAGGAACCAGCTGGCGTTCTGTTATAACGGGAAGTGTCAGCACTACGACGGCCAGTGTCAGGCTATATTTGGACCCAGTACGTATAAAGAGAAAATATATACAGATATTCTGACACTGTTTTATATACAGATACAATCTCTGGCCCTCATTTACAGTGACAGTTAATAACTACAGAGATATTAAAGATAGTAAAGTCTGTAGCAGTCAGGTTATCTAATAGCTGATCAATAGGAACAGAGTGAGTGCTTAGATAGAAAACTTTACACTGAAATAAAAGGTTGTTTTTATTTGCAGATATTTGATAAATGTATTAATCGTTTAAGTGATTAAATTGTTATTCTTCTTCGTTTTAAAGTCATCAGTTACATTCTTCATACTCTTCCTCTTCCTCCTCCTCCTCCCCCTCCCCCTCCTCCTCTTCCCCCTCCTCCTCCTCTCCTCCTCTTCCTCAGAGGCGAAGGCAGCTCCTGAACTCTGTTTTAAAGACGTCAACAGTAAAGGAGATCGCTTCGGTAACTGCGGTTACCATAACTACGGCTACAAGAAGTGTGAGAGCAGGTAACACACACACACACACACACACACACACACACGCACACACACACACACTCACTCACTTCCTGATCATGTGACTAAGTGATGTGTCTCTCCGTCTCCATAGAAACGCTCAGTGCGGGAAGCTGCAGTGCTCCAACGTTCAGGCTCAGACGACCTTCGGCATCGAACCGTCGATCATCAGCACGCCGATCACCGGAGGAAAATGTTACGGAGTCGACTTCATGTTGGGATCAGACGTTCCCGATCCGGGAATGGTGAACGAAGGGACCAAGTGTGGAGACAACAAGGTGAGGAAGAGGAGGAGGAGGAGGAGGAGGAGGAGGAAGATAGAGGGGGAGAGGAGGAGACATTAATATGAGAGGAAAATTAAGGAAAGGAAACAAGAAAAACTAAAACAAAGGGGAAAATGTGGAGGAGAGGAAGAGGGGAGGCAAGGTGAGGAGGAAGAGGAGGAGTAGAAGATGTTGACGCTCTTCTCTTCTTCTGTGGTGTTCAGGTCTGCATGAACTTTGAGTGTCGCAGCGCTGACATCCTGAACTACGACTGTGACGTGGAGAAGAAATGTCACGGACACGGGGTGAGACAGCCTGTCTGTCTGTCTGTCTGTCTGTGTATCAGTTCATCACACACTAACCTGTCTGTCTGTCGTCTGTCTGTCTGTGTATCAGTTCATCACACACTAACCTGTCTGTCTGTCTGTCTGTCGTCTGTCTGTCTGTCTGTGTATCAGTTCATCACACACTAACCTGTCTGTCTGTCTGTCGTCTGTCTGTCTGTCTGTGTATCAGTTCATCACACACTAACCTGTCTGTCTGTCCATCCGTCTGTCTGTCTATCAGTTCATCACACACTAACCTGTCTGTCTGTCCGTCTGTCCGTCTGTCCGTCTGTCCGTCTGTCTGTCTGTCTGTGTATCAGTTCATCACACACTAACCTGTCTGTCTGTCGTCTGTCTGTCTGCCTGTCTGTCTGCCAGGTGTGTAACAGTAACAAGAACTGTCACTGTGACGACGGCTGGGCGGCACCTTTCTGTGAGGTCAAAGGTTACGGTGGCAGCGTGGACAGCGGACCCACCTGGAACGGTACCTGCACCTTTAACACTATCAGTTATTATTGACGGTAGCAGCACTACCGCTCCCGTCCACAGGGGGCGCCACAATCACCTGTCGTCTGTCCTCCGCAGATAAAGACACGTCCCTCAGAGACGGCCTGTTGGTCTTCTTCTTCATCGTTCTTCCTCTGCTCGCTCTGGGTGCGTTTGTTTTCCTGCGCAGGAACGAGCTGCTGCGACGAATCGGGCTGAGCCGCAGGAAGAGGTGACACACACACACACACACACACACACACACACACACACACACACACACACACACACACACACACACACACACACACACAGGAGGTGTATCGTCCTGCTTCCACTTCCTGAAGGTTTCAGCAGCTGACAGACGACTCAGCTGTTTCTTTGTCTATTAATAATCAGTTCACCCTGACAACTGTGCTGCATTCAATGACCCTGACAACTGTGCTGCATTCAATGACCCTGAGGGATCTGTTCCCTGTGCTGCATTCAGTGACCCTGAGGGATCTGTTCCCTGTGCTGCATTCAATGACCCTGAGGGATCTGTTCCCTGTGCTGCATTCAGTGACCCTGAGGGATCTGTTCCCTGTGCTGCATTCAATGACCCTGAGGGATCTGTTCTCTGTGCTGCATTCAGTGACCCTGAGGGATCTGTTCTCTGTGCTGCATTCAATGACCCTCAGGGATCAGACAGTAGTGTTATAGACACTTAAAGACCAACGTCCATCCTTATTCTCGCCATCGTACCCTCTTAGTGTCCCGTTGATGTTTTCTGAAGTTGCAGTGTGTTTGTCCTCGTCAGCCACCGTACATAAAGGCAATAAAAACCAAAACAGATATAGAATAAATGAGCGTATGAAGTCACTGAGCCCTTGTCACTTCCTGTTTTCAGGGCTGACGGAGCAGCTCCGGCCAATCCCAGCAGAGCGCCGCCTCCCAGAGCGCAGCCTCCATCTGTTGCCCGGGGCAACGCCAACAACATCGTCAGAGACGGGGTGAGTTCACCGACAGGATGTACGACTGAACTGAACCACTGAAACTAAAACATTCATTGTTTCCTCCTGTCCTCATCCAACAGTCAGTAACAGTCTTAATCCGTCACCATAGCAACAAGTCTTCAAACAGACACAATATATTCACCTGCCTCCCCTTCATTCACCCTTCTGAAGCCCCGCCCCCTTTTGGCTCTGTGCTCCAATCACAGTCGAGCAACTCGAACACATTCGAAGATGATTAAAAGATAAAAGAGACAAATATAAACGTATGTTAGCATGTGATGGAGCCGTGACACAGTAAACATGTTAACGGTAATAAACCTGTGTGACCTATGACCCTGCTGATCAGGAGCCCGGTGATGATGATGATGATGATGATGTCACTGTGCTCCCGGTAAGCCACAGGTTCAGATCAATACGTTAGCTCTTAGTCTGATAATGATCAGTTCATTAGTTCTCAATAATATAATTAGATTGTAGTTTAATTAGTTAATTGTTTTATTAGCTGGTTAGTCAATTCACCAATCAATCAATGATTCTATTGATCCATTATTAATAGATTATCAATCTCAATCTGCAGTCGGTTCTTTGACTCAGGACGTTAAATTGCTGTTTAGTTGATTAGCTGATTAAGTTGATTGGCGATTGATTATCACATTAGTGTGTGTGTGTCTGTGTGTGTCTGTGTGTGTGTCTGTGTGTGTCTGTGTGTGTGTGTGTGTGTCTCTCTGTGTGTGTGTGTGTGTGTGTGTGTGTGTGTGTGTGTGTGTGTCTGTGTGTGTGTGTGTCTGTGTCTGTGTGTGTGTGTCTCTGTGTGTGTGTCTGTGTGTGTGTGTGTGTGTGTGTGTGTGTGTGTGTGTGTGTGTGTGTGTGTGTGTGTGTCTGTGTGTGTGTCTGTGTGTGTGTCTCTGTGTGTGTGTCTCTGTGTGTGTGTTACTAACCTCACATCTTCCTCTCTCTCTCCATTGAAGCACCACGCTCAGCTACTGCCGCCACAGGAGGTAAAATACTACTACTAAAATATTCTTTATTATTAAAAGAGTTGTTTTTACATTCAGAGGAAGAAGAAGTCCTCAGATCTTCTTCTTCAGGGACATTATAGTAAAGGTGGTAATTACTTTATATACTACACCTGTTATAAGCCCCGCCCCTTTGTTCTCTGTGCTCCAATCACAGTTGAGCAAGCCGTGGTCAACTTCCTCCTCTCCTGTACTTAAGATATGCTTCATCTATTTTTTTAACCATTCTGAAGATGGTTAAAAGATCAAAGATATATACCTGAAAATATAACAGACAATTGAATAGTTAGAATAAAACTGATGAGTTCCTCTGTGTGTGTGTGTGTGTGTGTGTGTGTGTGTGTGTGTGTGTGTGTGTGTGTGTGTGTGTGTGTGTGTGTGTGTGTGTGTGTGTGTGTGTGTGTGTGTGTGTGTGTGTGTGTGTGTGTGTGTGTGTGTGTGATCAGGTGGTGGAGACCAGCAGGACGGCTCCCTCCTACGCTCTGAGGCCTCCTCCTCCTCCTCTGTAAGGACACCGCTCTACATTTCACTGACGACTCAACGTCGTTTATTTAGCTTTTTTTTTCTGGAGATCTCGGCTGCGTCTCACAGTCTTCCTCAGGAGTCGCCATCGGATGATGAAGGCTGTGAGATGTTGTTTAAAGTCCCAGAAAAGAAGTTGAAGCTAACTGGACCTCGAAGTTAACTCGAAGTATCCAGTGTGTTTAAATAACATGTTGTACGTCGTAGTTGTAGAAATATAAACATAAAAAGGAGATATATAATAATAATAATAATAATAATAATAATAATAAATTAATAATAATTAATAATAATTAATAATATATTGTAGAAATTAAAGTGAACTTTTTTTTATGTCTCTCGTAGAAAACCGAAACCTTCTGCTGCATCACAGCCTTTGGTGCCTCAAAGACCCGCCCCCGCTCCACCTGTTTAACCAATCAGAGGGCCCCGCCCCTCCCCCACACACCTGGATGACACCCCCCCCCTCCTCCTCCTCTTCTTCTTCTCCTCCTCCTCTTCAAAACTCAGTCCCTACCCACTTAGAGCTGGTTACCGAGCAACAGCCAGGAAACGATCCTGGATCCAAGACGGAAGTCTGCCGGGGCCGGACTACGACCTGGACCCAGTCGGACACACCGGGACTGAACTGAAGCAGCTACTGTTCTCTACAATCTCTCTCTCTCTCTCTCTCTCTCTCTCTCTCTCTCTCTCTCTCTCTCTCTCTCTGTCTCTCTCTCTCTCTCTCTCTCTCTCTGTCTCTCTCTCTCTCTCTCTCTCTCTCTCTCTCTCTCTCTCTCTCTCTCTCTCTCTCTCTCTCTCTCTCTCTCTCTCTCTCTCTCTCTCTCTCTTTGTGCAGCCTGGAGATAAAACTCCATCAGGTGACACACAATCTGCTCCGTCACCAAACCAGCCAATCACATCTCCAGAACAGCTGTGACATCAACAAGCCAAATAATAGATCAACTTAATCATGACTCAGCCAAAGAATTTATTAGTCAGCATTTTATATTCCTGCTGTAAAAAGCTGTTTTACTTATGTCATAAGTTATGTAGCATCCAGTTTATTACCAGTTAAACAGTTAACCTTGTTAATTCACTACCCAATGAAAAGAAAGTGGTTATAAATATGTTTTATTAATAATAAGCCAATGTTAGTTAATTAGAACTGACTAGTTAACTACTGTATGCTAACTAACAATGCTAGCACAGCTGTACATCTTGTGAAGCTTCCTGATCAATCAAACATTTATTCATCAGCTGTTTTAATTCACCATCAATCTTTGTTACTGATTGTAATTTGATTAGTGAGCTCGTTAGCAAACGTTAGCTCGCTGAGAACAAACTTAAAGGCCATGAGGCTTCTTTCTACATGCTAACGCTATAAAGCATATATATTACTGTTAATGTCACTATTTGGACAGTAATAAGAAATAAATGTAATTTTTGTGACTAATTGTCAGTTAGTGTTACCACCATATTGTCTGTGTCACAGTTTATAATAATAACTGTGACACAAATAAAAAGAAGGTTTTTAAACAGTCACTTTGATTTTAAAGCCGACAACAGAAACTTCTCTTCCATTGATTTTAATGAAACTACAGCTGGCTATCTTTAACTGAGTCTGAAATGAGTGAATCATATGTAACCTCAATAATCCCAATCTGCTCTGGCAGTGATGACAGTTACTATTGAGTAAACTATATAACCAATATCTCTCGTCTTAATGGATAGAAACTGATTTTAAAGTATTTCTTGAAACTGAAAATCCTGTAATGATAAAGACTGGAGAAGTTTAACTAACGGTTTAGCTGCACGTACTGAAGTGCTTCACTCTGATTGGCTGGTTTGAGGACACAAAGGTCACTGGAGGCGGGGCTTGCACTTGGCTACTTCCTGTTTTTCTGTCTCTGAATGAAAGCACTGGTGCCGTCTGATTGCACTTCCCCTCTGAGCAGCACTGTCATAGGAATGTAACGCACCCCTGCTGCGGTGTGCGGGTGCGCTTGGTCTCCTCCACCTGGTTCGCCCGGCGCTCCTTCTCCACAATTGTAAAATCACAGTATGCAACAGCGTGTGAGTGCAGAGCTCCTCCGGGTTTTACTTCCTGTCCTCTGGATCTGGATCTGGATCTGGATCTAGATCTGGATCTGGATCTGGATCTGGATCTGGATCTGCGCGGTACGTGGATGTTTGTGGCTGCGCTGGCTGACGTTCCTGCAGGGAATGTACGATCACCTCGTTTAGTTTTATCTCCTGAAACCCTTCAGCACTGTTCAATCTGAAGTCTGTGACGTTCAGGATGACCAACTGTCCCACTGGAGGTTGTTAAAAGGTTGTTAAAAGGTTGTTAAAAGGTTGTTAAAAGGTTGTTAAAAGCCTTCTGGGAAATGTATGCAACTTGGTCTCATCGACAGTCAACAAACACCTGAATACACAAAATAAATGACAATAATGAATATTGTGTGAACTCTCCTGAAGGTCACAGATTGAAGACGTGTTGCAGTGCTGAAGGTGGAAGTGATCCGTTAAACTCACAGCTGGAACACCTGCTTCTGTTACCGTCACCTGAGTGGTAATCGGACGGGTTCTGAACATTTAAAAAGCATTCAGGACGTTTCAGTTTCTCTCTGTGAACGCTCGCCGGCCGGCTCCAGAGTCCCTCAACAGGCTCACAGGTTTCATTCAAAGCAGGGATTTCTACAGCACCAGTAAACCAAATGTTTCTGTATGTGTCTGACTGGCTTCATCTGCTGTTAACTGACTGTTAGCACTGTTAGCCGGCTAGCTGCACGCTGCAGTTAATGAACCTGGACGCACTGTGTGAGGAGAACTTCATGTGGATATTTTCTCTGCTTTAGTATATTTTTAATTTGCGCAGTGAACACGAGGACTCGACTGAGGATTAAAATAAGTAACTCATAGGGCTAATCTTCTGTCAGTGGAATCATTTTCATGCCAAAACACAGTGAAGAGTAATCAGTGTCTCCCCCCAACTGTTCCTGAGGAAAGAAAACTCTGTTCAGGAGGTTATTTAGAGACGTGAGAGCAGCTGGAGCTGAAGCTCACAAGAGCATCAGATTACAGTCGGTCAACTGTTTCTGCTGACCACTTTAAACAGTTGCTGATCTTCTGCAGTGGATTCAGATCAACAGATCTGGTGTTCAGGCTCAAACCAACACTGTGATCTTCCTCACAGATCAATGAACACACACTGCTGCCACGAATACGGCACCAAGTGTGGATTCATCCGCCGCTGAAAATAGTCCCCAACAAAAGTACATCACCAATAAAAGCTGCAGTAATCCCAGTTCAATACTTTATTTCAACTTATTTTTAGGATTTATGAATTAATAGTTCAGTGGCTTTCAGGTAAAACTGCGGTCTGGGGACCAACAGGGGTCCTTTGGGTGGGTTGTAGGGGGTCGTCAGCTAAAGGAGGAACAGAGTATGTTTATTAAAAAATGTAAAGTAGGAACAACAAGGAAAGACTGGGATTGGTTGTAATGTGTGGTTCCAACCTTTGATTATTAATTAACTGAAGTCTTTTTTTTTATCTTTATACCTAAATAGGAAAAGTGACTCTCTCCAGGGCAGTTTGAGGACAGTTTGAGGACCGTTTGAGGACCGTTTGGGGACAGTTTGAGGACAGTTTGAGGGCTGTTAGAGGGACAGTTTGAGGGCAGTTTTGGGGGCAGTTTGAGGGCTGTTTGAGGACAGTTTGAGGGCTGTTAAGGGACAGTTTGAGGGCAGTTTTGGGGGCAGTTTGAGGGCTGTTTGAGGACAGTTTGAGGGCTGTTAAGGGACAGTTTGAGGGCAGTTTTGGGGGCAGTTTGAGGACAGTTTGAGGGCAGTTTGAGGACAGTTTGAGGGCAGTTTGAGGACAGTTTGAGGGCAGTTTGAGGGCTGTCTTACATTGGAGCATTATTTAATCGGCCCACAGAGATCTGCAGATTGATTTAATCAGCTGATGGTTGCAGCTCTGTTTCCTTCAGTGAGCTCACATAAAACAGAAAGCTCAGTATGTTTGTAAAGGAAATATTTGACATTGAAGTTGTCCTCCTGTGAGATTATAACACCAGCAGCAGCCCCAAGACAGTTTCAGAGTCTCCTGCCCTAAAGTCTCCCAACAAACCTCCGGACTTCAGTACTTCTCTATATCTGTGTTGGTTTGACTCTGAACTCTGAGTTTGTTTCATTAACACCTGACTGATGCTTTAAACGGTCGATTCTGATCCATCAGTGTGCAGCCGGCGGTTTGAGGATGATCGACTGATTGATCGACTGATTGATCAGCCTGCTCTGAAAAAAAAAAAAAAGGTATTGGTGGGATTTTCCAGCCCTAATCGGTCTTTCAGGCAGGACCACCTGAGAGGTAACACTCAGGGTGAGAAGGTCTCTCTGTGAGTGCTCAACCTGTGTGTACTGCCTGTGTGTGTGTGTGTGTGTGTGTGTGTGTATGTGTGTGTGGTGTGTGTGTGTGTGTGTGTGTGTGTGTGTGTGTGTGTGTGTGTGTGTGTGTGTGTGTGTGTGTGTGTGAGCGGTACCACAGCAGGTATAATGGGACACAATGACTGACGGGTCTACCTGGATCTCCCTGCAAACACTGACATCACCATGGCAACGCAGAGAATCTCATCACCTTTTTCCTTTTCTAATAAATGATTTTATATAGTTTTTGTTTTCTCTCTTTTTGCAAATGTAAACATGTTATCTGTGGTTAAACTTCCAACTGTTTTTATTTCAGTATTAAATATTGCTGTGTCACGTGGAAACCTCGTACGGCTGAATTATTATTAATTATTAACAGTTTATACATTATAAAGCTCAGTATTCATCAGCTATAACTTTACAATGCTGCTTCCAAGTTAATGCACTCATATTAATAAATATATAATATTATAACGCAGTAAATGGGGCCATTCTACCTAATGAATGATTTTAGTTTTGATTCATACATTTATATTATTTACTTTTGCATTGACTTTTACTTATAATCAAGTATTTTTACAGTTCCTATTACTACTTTTACGTAAAGATCTCTTTTTTGTATTTATTTACCAGAGACAATGGACATTAATCAACATTGTAGTTTACACTTCAATGTACATGTGCAGGAGTTAGCTGATGCTATGTCATCAATAGATCTGAATCCTTGGTACTCTATACTTTCTTTTTATGTATTGTGACTTATATGTATTATATATATATCTAGTATACAAAATATATACATATACTACTTTGTTCTCATATATAATAAAATATTTTCTTACATTTGTAACTGGTAAATGGACCTTGTATAGTTTCCTTTCTAGTCTTCCGACCACTCAAAGCGCTTTTACACTACAGCCACATTCACCCTTTCACACACATTCACTCAGTGAAGTCCATCGAACAGAAACTAACTCATTCATACACATTCACACAACGATACATGGCATCGGGAGCAATGTGGGGTTCAGTATCTTGCTCAGGGATACTTCGACATGTGGCACCAGGAGCCGGGGATCGAACCAAAAACCTTCCGAGTAGTGGACGACCCGCTCTGCCTCTGAGCCACAGCCACATTTGTGTTAACCTTTACTCTTTAATATGATTTTTTCTATTCTAATTCATATATTTTTAAATAAATATGTTTTTATGTTTGTTATTTAACAAAGTAAAGTCATACTATTTGCATTAAAGCTGCAGTAGGTAGTAAAGGCAGATAATCTGTGGACAGAAATCTGGTTCCTCAGGTTCCTCTGGTTCCTCAGGTTCCTCAGGTTCCTCTGGTTCCTCTGGTTCCTCCTCGTGCTCCACCAGACCTAAACAAAAACAACAACAGTCTTTATATCTTTCTCTGATTGGTTGTTTTCGTTTGGGTGGTGGATTTTTACAAATGCTATTACGAGTGGGTCAGAGGAACCGGATTTGTTTCACAGATTATCTCTGCTGTCAGGATAAAGTGAAAGTTTCAGCAAATAGAACAAAAAGTTATTTTTATAATAGTTCAATACTGCAGCTTTAATATAAAAATAATACCGTTGTTAAATTTTATTAAAATGTTTCATTTTGTTCTTTGATTAATTTTTTTATCGTACATTTAAAAAAAAAAAAATAAAAATAATAATATTATATAACTATTTATTTATGTTCGTTTTAGACGTGAAGACGCACGCAGGCCCCGCCCCCGTGCGTGATGACGTCAGTGCAGACGGACGCCCCGAGCTGTCATCATTTCACCGGGAGAGGCGAAGGGCATCCGGATACCGGCCGAGAGGGGAGCCGCTGAAACTCGTTTCTGGAGGTCAGTAACCGGGACCGGAGCCAGCACCGACGCCTGCGGGTCTACAGGGACCCGGTCTGAGGGGGATCCGGGTCTCAGTTCAGAGGAAATTAAAACCCGTGTTGAGGAATTTGAGACAAAACCTGTTAGCATGTTAGCCTCGTGCTAGCTAAAGCACAGCGCGTTCCCTGTTCGAGTCCGGTCGGTTGTCCGGTCGGTTGTCCGGTCGGTTGTCCGGACGTCAGCGGACGTCAGGGGTCCGTTTATGGAGGGAAACGCAGATATTAACCGGGAAGTTCACTTCCTGACAGCTCGTGCTCGATTAGCACCGGATAGCCGCTAGCTTAGCGTGCTAATGGTAATTATAACGGAGAAGCTAAAGGTTAGCTCCAATGCTAATTCAATGTGTAACGTCACAGCTGATCGGTAACGTCACAGCTGATCGGTGACGTCACAGCTGATCGGTTTAATGTGTTTCTTCGTTTTCGGGAACTTATGACTCGTGAAAGGACACAGTGACCGACGGTTGCAGCAGCCAATAGGAAGGCGTTGGAGTCCTGTTTCCGGGTGGACAGCCAATGAGGAGGCCGGGTGGGCAGGTGGTGGGCGGGTCCAGGTCGGGCTGAGCGAAGGAGAACCAACAAGGTCAAAACAGGGAGAGACCTGTCTCACTGACCTGTCTCACCTCTGTCTCACAGACCTGTCTCACCTCTGTCTCACAGACCTGTCTCACAGACCTGTCTCCCCTCTGTCTCACAGACCTGTCTCACAGACCTGTCTCACCCGTCTCACAGACCTGTCTCACAGACCTGTCTCACCTCTCTCACAGACCTGTCTCCCCTCTGTCTCACAGACCTGTCTCCCCTCTGTCTCACAGACCTGTCTCACAGACCTGTCTCACAGACCCGTGGTTGTGAGATATTCCCCCTGCAGACTGAATCACTGTTAGTTCTCAGACAGGAAACAGCGGTGACCCCTCTGTGACCTCCGTTTGACTGACAGGTGTCTCACCTGTGTGGTACACACTGATCCCAGTTCGGGCGTATCCCGATACAGAGGATCTATATGTTGTGATACTGGAAGGCCGTAGATTGTGATTCATTCATTCATTCATTCATTCATTCATTGATCTTCAAATGAAAGTTTGAAGAACATCACAAGCCTGACTGTAACAGCTGATCCCTGATCTGTTTACATGTTAACATTGGTTCTGCCTATAATGCCGTATCAGGTGTTGGTAAGTAGGTGTTCACCATTGACAGTGTATATTTATATATTTATATAACGGCCAGCAGGGGGCGCTCCACTGGTTGCAATAACACTCTGATAGTATCGAGTCGTATGGGGAAACGAGCCGACAGTTGATGTCTGAGCTCAGTAAACAGTTTCCTGATGAGTTTCTGGTCTCAGTCTCTAGTTTCAGTCTTCTTCCATACAGCATGATGTTCATTTAGTAACTGATGGTCCCATTTAGAGTAAAACAGACCATAATGCAGGGTATGCTTTAGGGCGGGGCTACCTTGTGATTGACAGCTCATTCTCAGTTATTTGACTGTTTATCTGGAATACCAGATCCTGTGTGAGCAGGCGAGCCGCCATTGTTTCCTGATCCGATCCCGCTAGTTAAACATTTTTAACTGCGAGTGAAACGTTGCTTCCTGTTCTCCCTGTCTAACACACTGTCTCTCTCTCTCAGTGGACAGACGGACCAGTGGACGTTTCATTCATCCCTCTCTGTTCTGGGGCTGACTGCAGATCGGTGGACTGACTTTTTACCCCGTCGTGGTTCTGAGGTTGAGGACGTCCGGCCCGTTCGGACTGACCACCACCACCGTGTGTGTGTGATACGTTAAGGACTGCTTATGCATCGTTTAAGGACTTGTGCGGCGCGATTGCGTCCGCTAACCGCCTCGCAGGCGGCTCAGACTGTCGGCCAGCAGCGGCCAGTCACAATCACCTCCACAGGAGGCACAAGGACGTTTCAGCCAATCAGGTGCTACACTGCGCCTGTGGCCTCGGAGCCGTTCCTGAACGGGACGAGCTCCAACTACGTGGAGGAGATGTACTACGCCTGGCTGGAGAACCCCAAGAGTGTTCACAAGGTAAGGGTCAGAGGATCAGAGGAGCCCCCTGCTGGTCTGGAGGACGCATTTAAAAAAACATAAATCCTTAAAAAACACGACACAACAGAATGAAATCATGTCAGACCGAACACAGCCAACAGAGTTTGTGCTGTCCTGTATTGTGTAAGATAAACTCCTGAGAACTGTCCTGGAAAAGGATTTCTGAAAGAGAGTGGGAACCCTGAATGTGACGTAGAGAGTCCCTGAAGGTGACTCAGTGTGCTGCTGGTGGGAGGTAGCGCCCCCCCCAGGGACTGAATGAACCTGATGGTGTTTCACCCGCACATTTTAACTGAGCCCTAAAGGACAACCGGGCTAATAATAGCTGAGGCTCAGTCACATGACGGAGCTGTTTTACTGTCCAAAGTGAAGTCAGAGCAGGCCGGTCTGCAGCGACCTGGGGAATACTGGGGGGGTTAGTTATTATTATTATTAAAGATTAGTTCCAACAGGATTAATGAGTTTACATTGTCCTGAAGGTACAGATGTTCTCACAATGATACCTTATACTGATTAATAAAGTAAATATAAACCAGATCTTATTTACTACCTATAAAGAAGAGTAGAACATGTTAAAGCAGTGCAATTTATTAGTTTTAAAAAAGTATCTGAATTGAATTTAACAGAATCAGAGATCTGTTAAAATACTTTATACATATTTAATGAATATATCAGTGACTTTTTTCTGATGTCCGCCTCTCATAGAGGACAACTTAGTAAATCCTCTGTGTGTGTGTGTGTGTGTGTGTGTGTGTGTGTGTGTGTGTGTGTGTGTGTGTGTGTGTGTGTGTGTGTGTGTGTGTGTGTGTGTGTGTGTGTGTTATGTAAAGACCAGACTGTGTGACCTTGCTGTTATCGACTTACCGAACTAGCTGGAAGCTAAACAGCAGCACTGAACACTTACTGTAACTGTAGTAATAGTGATGTTTAATAGATGAAAATGTGACCATCTTTATTTCATAGTTTGAATACAGAGGTAACCAGATATTTAGTTGTAGTAGTTTCTGCCACTAGGGGCTCTCTCACATTCAAACATTAACAACAAGATAAAGTGTGTTGAGGTGGTGAAGCAGCGTGGGATCATGGGAGTTGTTGTCTTCACCACCATTGGCGTCATTGCAGTCAGCTTCTCCCGGTTAGGATTCCTTCAGTGTTCATGGTTCAGGAGGTTTCTACCGGGAGCCCAATGATCCACAGAGGTCTCCTCCTCTCCAACACAAACAGACCCGCTGATTAAAACCACTAAACACACTGAATAAAGCAGTTCCACCTTAAACACACTGAATAAAGCAGTTCCACCTTAACAATCACTGCTTCTCCCACGCTGTTGGACAGACAAAGATCCAGACGTCCGATGACTAAAATCCTTCATCCGGTTCAAATC